AAAGAGGACTCCCATTTTAGAAACAATTTCATTCTTCCTGGTATCAATTTATTGGCATATGTGAATGCATGTCCTTAAAAAAAAAAAAGCTTTGCCATATATTTAACAAAGTTACGCTAATTGATGGATGGGAATAGAGAAAATGAACCATGATTACCTTCAAAAAGAAAAAGAAAAACTTTATTGCAAGTCTGAATCTGTTGTATCTGGGAACTAACCCAGAGGTATATTACCATGTAGCATTGCAAGCTCCTGCAAAGCAGATTTATCAGCTAATGACCTTTCTAAAACTCTTCCTCATCTTCATTGTTCCCCAAGGAGGTAGTGAGGTAGAGAAAGACTCCATGATACCTTTTCCCTACTCTCACTAGCATAAAAAGTAATATTAAACCTAGTTAGACAAGATTTATCACTGAAAAATTAGGATAAATGCCAGGAAAACATACTTATTCCTAAAATGTGAGAAATAGTGAGAAATTGCCAGATCACCTATTAATCCAGTCTTTTGTTTAACACATGAGGAAATTGAGGCCAGTGAAATAATTGGGTGATTTACCCAAGATCAATCTGCTGAGAAGGGCTAGAGATAACTCATATTTTTTCCTTAGTACTCTTTCCACTATGTGGCTATGGTAGAGCATCCATGAATTATCATTGGGTTCTGTGGGTCATCATAACTCATTCAGTAAACATATGCAAACGTACCATATGCTGGGCATTAGGCTAGGCATGGACAAATACTAGGGGGAAAAATCTCTGCTTTTGAGTAGCATCTAATAAATTTTTTTGAAATCTCTCTAATTTTCTGAAGTGTCTTGAATCATTTTAGAAAACCCAAGTGAACCATTTGGGGTCGATTTTCTGATAAATTGATTTTAGTATTCTGTGCTTATCTATAGTTATTTGTACATGCTTATTGACATTTATAAAAAAAATAGTACATGGCCATTTTTAAATGTATACGTAGTTGGAATTTGGTGTCTAAGCCTTTGTATACCTCTTTCTCTATGGAATGACTGAGCAAGAAAACTGTACAAATAAAAAGAGATAGTATTTTGCCTGAGCACTGGATTCCTGTAAACTTGGATACAATGTCACACAATGTCACATGGCTTCCATCTAGGGAATTAAATACTTAGAGATAGGAGAGAGTTTGAACTTCACAGAAACCAGCCCATCTGCACAGTGTAATGTCTTAAGTTTAAATGGAACTAGAAGTTTGTATGCATCTCTATCATTACCTTTGTGTATAGCAAACACGATGTAGTGAAACCACAGACCTGGATTCAAGTTTCAATTATGTAATTTGCTTATTTGGAGGTGAGCCTGGACCAATCTTATCTTTAATGTTCTCATCAATAAAATGAGGTCAGTGAACTCTGCCCATCACATATGCTACAGATACTTTAAGTGCAAATGTTTATATTCACTAAGACACTATAAAATATCAAGTTCAGGTTGTTATCCCCAATCCAGACTTTTCTCCTGAGATCCATCTTCCTATATTTAAGTATCAGTGGCCTTGCTCCTTGACTCATAATAGCTTCCAAATGCTTCCCCTGCTATTAGCCTATTCTTCACACAGCTGCCAGGTTATCTTCATGAAATCTTGCTTTCATCATGCCATTCTAAACATTTCCCCCACTACGGGAATAAGTTCAAGCATGGTTTAGAAATTTAAAAACTCTTGCAAATCTCATACTATGTATTCTCTTAGATTTATTACTTATTATGCTGTCCTTCCCCCCTCCCCACAACAACACACATATACAACCCCATCAAATTAAAGCCCATTTTTGCTTTTCTCGTGCATTTTGTCTACCTGGAATGCACCACTATGTGTTCCCTAGATCTTCCCATCCATGCAGACCAATACCCAGATTCTTTTATGCAGTGAGACCTTCCATCACTTCCTTTGCTCATAGCTCCTCTCACAGAGGACTTACACACACACACACACACACACACACATCCTTAGGAGCCAAGGACCATTTCCTAAGACAATGCTCAATATTCTTATTAGCAAAATAGAAACAATGATACATATTTTTTAGAATAGATGTATATATATATCTACACTAATAAAAGAGAAACATGCAAATTGGTGTCACTCTGCTACACCCACCAGCCAATCAGACTGACTATGCAAATTAACCCAACAAAGATGGTGGTTAATTTGCATACACAGGCGCAGAGCGAAGACTGAAGGCTCTGGCCAGAGTGAAGACTGAAGAGGCTTGGCTTCTCTGCTGCGGCCAGACCAAAGGCCTGGGTCCTGGGTGCCGGAGGAAAACTGGTGCCAGCAGCCAGGGGAAGGAAGGCCTATTGCGCGAATCTTCGTGCAACTGGCTTCTAATATATATGCTCTGACACATTTGAGGCATTTAGTTGGTGCTCAACATGATAGCTTTTACCATTATCCCCTCATTCTGTTACTTCAAAAATAATGTAGTCTTCAGAATCTTCTTTGTGAGATTTTGTTCCCTTTTAGTAGCCAAAAGAAAATTAAGTGATTTACACTCTTAGCTATATATGCCGGATAATGATTGCATGTGTCTACCAAAAGACATGTACAGGAACATTTATAGCAGGTTTGCTCATAATAGACAAAAAATGCAAACCAAATATGCATCAATTGGAGAATAAATTCATGTAATATAGTCATGTAACAAAATATAGCACAGCAATAAAAAAATCAACATGTAATTAACATGGATGAGTCTCACGGACATAATGATAAATGAAAGAAATCAGGCCATAAGAGTAAAAGTGTATAGTCCAAGATTCTATATTTATGAAATTCAAGGAGAGGTAACATTAATCTTGGAAGGTGGAAATCAAAATAGTGGTTATCACTTGCGGAGAGAGGTTCTGACTAAGAAGGGCAGGACAAACTTCTTTGAGTGCTGGAAATTACGTGGGTAGTGTTCCAAAGGATACATGTATAGGCAAAATATCATCAAACTGTACACATGTGGAATTTAATGTATATTATGCCACATTAGATTTTTTTTTAGAGGGCTAAGGACTCCATAGGAGAAGAAAGTACAAGTAAGTTTTTCTTTTTCCAAGTTGTTTTCTCGTCTCCCAATTTCACCCCCTTTCCTTCTTCCTTAGAGATCTCGGAAAATTTAACTTTCTTTCCATTGAAATTGATCAATTTGTTC